ATGTGGATATTCTGGAACAAAGTGCTAAGTATAATCTGGTACTGAAATGTGGATATTCTGGCACAAAGTGCTAAGTATAATCTGGTTCTGAATTGGGGATATTCTGGCACAAAGTGCTAAGTGTAATCTGGTACTGGAATAGGGGATATTCTGGTACAAAGTGCTAAGTATAATCTGGTACTGAAATGTGGATATTCTGGCACAAAGTGCTAAGTATAATCTGGTTCTGAATTGGGGATATTCTGGCACAAAGTGCTAAGTGTAATCTGGTACTGGAATGTGGATATTCTGGTACAAAGTGCTAAGTATAATCTGGTACTGAAATGTGGATATTCTGGCACAAAGTGCTAAGTATAATCTGGTTCTGAATTGGGGATATTCTGGTACAAAGTACTAATTATAATTTTGTACTGAAGTGGGGGATATTCTGGTACAAAACGCCAAGTATAATCTGGTTCTGAATTGGGGATATTCTGGTACAAAGTACTAATTATAATTTTGTACTGAAGTGGGGGATATTCTGGTACAAAACGCCAAGTATAATCTGGTTCTGAATTGGGGATATTCTGGCACAAAATGCCAAGTGTAATCCAATGCATAAATTTTATTTATCATGTCACATACATGAGCTGGGATGAGATCAGCAATGTACTATTTACCAATGTATATGGGAAGGCGGCTGAATTCTTGGATTTATGAGGTCATTTAAACAGGAAAAGCATGTAAATTTTAACTACAACATAAATCATGACTAAACAACCTCCTTTGTTGTTGAATTTTTAAGTGCAACAATTGAACTGGTACCAGTATATTGCATAAGATACAAAAGAACAGAATCTCGGTAAATTTGTATACTTTTTTTTTTATTTCTTTGTGAACACCTGTATACACAATGAGCACAAGAAGGCAGTTTTTGAGGATATATACATTAGGAAATATACACTGAAAAAAAAAGATTGAATAAACTATGCAGCACAATTTGGTAAATTATTTTAAAAAATGATCATAAACCATCAACACTTGGTAAAACATGGACAATCCAGTTCTTAACTCAATCATGACCTCAAAAAGGTTACACATCCTGGTACTTTGCATGACCCAAAGGTCACACATCCTGGTAGTTTTGGTGGATTATGACCCTCAAAAACCTGGTAACACCTGACTTACAAAACTGAAATTAAGGCATGTTGGAAAATAAATATTTTAATTTCAGCAGTTGCATGCAATACACATTTGTAACCAATCAGATGCCTTCTCACAAATGTTAATCTTTATTAAAGATATGAAACACGATATCAGATATGCACCAATCAGAGAGCATCTTACTAAACTTGACACATACTGCATAAACAATGATCTAAAACTTATTCTGATTGGTTACCACATATATATACACCTATGCATATTTATCACAATTAAGATTTGCATATCAAAGTTTTTTTAAGAGAAATTACAACATAGTTTTACACAGTTTCAATGTACTTTTCTGTAACTTGTTAGTGATTGACTAAGATCTTTGTAACAACCTGTCTGTATAAATGACAAATCGAATCGATGACCATTTTATTTCAGTTAAAAAGATTGTTTTTAATATTCATGCTTTAACTCTGAAAATATGCCCAATTTTGAATAGTACAACATCAGTTCATCAAATGGTCAAAAATACATATTTTTCTTACTTGTTTGATTTGTTTGTGCACTAACATGAAGTGATTTACTAGCGCTTCATCCAAATACAATCTACCGATTTTATTTTCCAATTTGTATCTATTGAATGGTGACAGTACTTAGTATGTGTTCAACCATTTTCAGCTTACATGTATGCATTTCTTTTTAAAAACTAGATGTTTGTTAAATATGATTTTCTTTTCCATTAAAAGGGAATAAAATGATACTGTACATTTTGAGTTTTAAGTTCTCTTCATTCTGCATAACATTTCAGGTCATTATTTTAATTTCAGATGACAATAAATTCAAGAAATATTTTATAACAGAAATGTCACTTATAGAACAGCAAGAAGTACATGTTAATAAAGAAATCTGAAAACTTGAGAGAGAAAAAAACAGTTTCTTGCAGATTTGTTCAATTTCTTGTTTTTGTTTTTGGAGGGGTGGGTTGCAGGTGTAAATAAGCTCAATTTCTTAAGAAGAAATATCACAAGGCTTGTGATAATTGGTCCAATTTATCAAACCCACAAGACTATATAGAGTATGAAATGATTCCCTCTATTTGTAAAAAGAATTAATTGTTGTTGCATAATGGCATTGCTATAATTGACACACGCCAAGAAACCTTACACCCAACCATGAACAACATACATTATACATATAATGAATTGGTAAATGTTTTGATTGCTTAAACATCCACAACGCATTGCACTATCCAAGTGTCTCAGACCTTGTCTAACATTGTACACTGTCCCAAATGATCTACATAAAGTTGTAGTTCTATTAGTGTACATACTGATACAATCTAATTAAAAATTTGGTATAAACAGTGGCTGTTTACTTTTAACATACGACTAATGATGTACAGTTCAACGAAGAGGTCAACGAAGTAAGTAACAACATACAATTATCAACTGGTAAAGTGCCATGGTCAACTTTTGTAATCATCACAAATCCAAACTGCACGATATTTTTCCAAAATTTCAATCGACTACAGGTCGCTAGTAGGAAAATATGTCCATCGGTTTCAAAATTATCAAAAATATTGCCAAAAAATACTTAAAAATAGGCAAAATAATGCACCAAATTTTTGCCATTAATATTGTGCTCATATTTAATTAACCCTTACTCTAGTGAGTTTCTGAAAAATATTGTTGAATTTATGAATATGCTTTTAAATTATGAGAATTTATTGATCAAACCGGTGCAGGTTTAGAAGTACATCATGATCAATATTTCCAGAAAACAAAAAATAAGAGGCTTGATTTTTACAAGTGGCAGAAGGATTTGAATCTACTTTATGACCCACCAACGAATAATTGTAGAAATGCTCACGAAAAAATTTGAAACAATTGAAGTGAAAGTCAAACCCTGATTGAATCTTTCTTTGGCACTTTCATTCCAATTTACATAAAAATGAAGCAATTTTTATCAACACTTTAAATATGGAAATAAATGTCATTTTTGTTTTGTTTATATATCTTCAAGAAAAAAGCCAAGCATATTATCCTAGCGTCAAGCATAAAGTATTTACAAACACGACTTTGATTGTGATAAAATTCCTGAAATGCATCGATTGGATCGTGCATAAATTGTTAAAATACAGACTATAATGAGTTATTTCACCATCTTTGTTTTGGCAATCAGCTTTTCACAATGTCTTCTTTATTTTCAAAGCTAAGAAAGTACGACCCTTGGGAATTTCATAAAATTGTTTTTTTATGAGAAAAACTTGCGACAATTTTGTCTTTATTCCTATGTCAAGTAGATTTACAATGAGCCAAACAAGAATCAAAAATATGTTTCCATGAAAGCGTGTTTTTTATTATTTATCCAAATGGCTGCCATTTTGATTAAAAATTAGTGACATTTGGAAATTTCTACCTTGATAACAAGATTGGTAGTCTCCATTCTGGAAGTTAGTTCACATTTTAAAGAAATTTTTCCAAATCAAGGGTCATTCTACCATAATTTTGAAGTTATTTAAAGATTTGATCAACATTCTTGATGATTTCAATCAACATTTGTGTAGGAAACAAACGATGACAGTCCTGGTGAAATGTCAGGTGAGATTATGAATAAATTCAGGAGCAACTCCGCTACATGTAAACTGGCCTTAATGCTCATGGAAGCAAAGATATGGATGGAAGAAATATTTTTGGTTAAATACAATTTTTAAAAGAAAAATTTGAAATTTCTACCCACATAAATTGTTACAGATGATGATGGTTATGTATTAAAAGTCCTCAAATATTTTAGAATCTAATGGAAACTCCTTCCAGTATGATTAATCTGCAATTTTAAAAACCATTTTCTATCAAATTTTCTCACAAAAATTGAGAAGAACAAATAATTCGGTGGAGCAAATCAATTAAATTAAAAACTATGTTTCTTGATCACAATTAAGTGTTTGTTTTTTTTTGGACAAATCAAATTTGTCTGATATTTGTACTTTTTTTGGAATGTACACATGATAAGTGATGTAACATGTTATACGGTATGTACAATACAGATACAAAACTACAAACGCTTTTTTCAAACACCATCACAAAAAAGATATATCTTTCAAAAAACTAAAAAATAGCCTTTTTTACATTTTTACATGTTTTTACATTAAACTCACATATGTCCTTAAAAAACGATTGTCATAAACATTGCCTTGCACCTTAAACTTGTATCTATCTTTTCAATAATGGCATTAGTATAGTACCAAATATCAACTGCTTAAAATTACTCAAAGTTTTTTCTAAAATAAAACTTTTATGTACTTTTCTTTCTTATTCCAATTAAAGGTACATCGGCCAATATAATCATTGCTTCCTGTTGATTAGAATCAAACCCGAATTCTTTTTGGCAGTTTCAGCATAAATCTGACATTTGCACTTCCAAACATTGCTGGTTACTTTCCTCATAAATTGTTAAATATTCCACATAACTTAGTCCACAAAACGAACACAGGCCTTTTTCCATTTACACTGTGTGCACCACATATCACGGTTTTCCATTCCGTAAACTTTCCGACACTTTTTTGTTTCTCCTCGTACTTTCTTTGGATATGGTCCTGAAATTCCATGAGTTTTTTGGTGGGAACCTGCATTATGTGACTTGGGAGAGGCAGGATGGAGCCTCTGTGGGGCGCTGTTTGACCTCTGTCGAAAAGGCAAAGCAACCTGAAAGATTTGAACAAATATTTTATTTGATCATTTTCAAAAGCAGAATAAATAAAAAAAATTCAGGAAACAGAAAAAAAATCTGAAACAAAACCTACATAAATTTGACAAACTCGATAGAATTTGGTCAAAAATTAAACTTACTTTAGTTGGAGATGCTGAAAACGTAAATGTTGGACTTCCGGGAACTTGATGCCAAGTAAAACTCTGCGGCTGTTGAGGTGCACCACCGATCAGAATCTGAATAAAACATTGAAGAAGTACAGTTAGGTTTTGTTGGTGTTTATCAGATTTAGAATAATTAAGCAAGGAAATACTGTAGTTTTCAACAAGAAGTTTATATCCGATAATGCCTTGGTTTTATTACCTGTAGTTACAATATTTTTAATGTTTATTCTGACAATGGGAACCAACAGAGTTTCATAACATGTACAATGTAACATATATAAATGCAAAATACAAGATTCAAATAAAAAAACACATCAAAAAATGGCTTTTAAAAATAATCCCATTAATTATATTCACAAAATGAATTCATGCAAAAAGTCATGTCCGCCATGATATTTATAGTTCCGCTCCCAGGCAGGTCAGTCTACGAACACCAGAAACAATTGGCTGGTTGCCCAAAGCTGGACTATTTACCTGTTTAGCTGCATTGTGGTCCCTGCGTAAGCTGTCCACACTATGTTTTCTCAGTGCTGGATCCTCATGTCGTGGTCGAGCCATGTCCATATGACTTAACGTGGGTGGCGGTGATGACGTGCAAACCCCAGACATGCTCTCAACTCTCTCTAATGTTGTTTCAAACTCTGTGTAGTAAAACTCTTCTTCATGGTCACAGGACTCACCATTTTTTGGTCTAAAAGAAAGCAAAGATTTTAAAACACTTATAATATGCTTCTTTCTTAAGTTGTTAAAATGTCCTTTTTTTCTATAAAATGTATTTCCTACATTTCCTACATGTTGATGGAGTATGAATGACTTATTTGCCTAGTTAAAAGCACATCTCCAATAGAAGAGCACATGTAAGCTTATTGGCTATGTAAACCCACTTTTGCTGTGTGTCTTTAAACACTTAATTCTTCGGTTGTCACTTTTTACAAAATATACTTGCATGGTTTTTGCCCTAAACTTTGATAAAGATCTGTGAACAATGGAAAATCATGTCTGGTTTAAAATGAACTTGCAGAAAAAGACATAAAAGCGAACAAAATGTACGTGGGGAAAATTACATATTCAAAATCTACTTGTGCAGAAGACAAATCATACAGGCAAATTTGTTACATAAACTACATTGCTAATAACATGATACTTGGCTATCCAAGTATCAACTTTACAGGCTCAGACAAACACAGGCCATCCTTGTACCTTACTTAACACGAGTCTCTGGCATGCTCACTCATAGTTTGGGTTCATCTTTGGGTTAAACCCCATTATGAATTTGGGGCTTGATTTTGATTTTGATTTTGCTAACCAGTAACCAAGCTGAGTGTTTTTAATCTGTCGGTAATACTCGTATAAATACAGTCATGACATCCCAAGACAAACTTGTCAAATGTGAGTGTAATTTATATAAAATTTACATGTTTACACAATATGGCAACTATCCAAAGCCTAAACTACTCACTTAAATAAACCAATGACAGTGATTTATATTTATTACTGACCCTTGTCAATATGACTCCTCATATAATAGATCTAATGATGGCATATTCATCTACAAATGCCGCTGATTCAATATTTGCGACTTCCGATACCCACATATATCAATGCAAACTGACCACTGACAGAAAAAATAAGTTGAAAGTCCATTTCAGTCAACAATGTACTGAAATTTATAGCTTCAGCCCTGAGGCTAAAAAAGATGTTGACAAAAATGCCTGGATGCTTCTATAATTAACTCAATGTGTAGTCTAATGTATCTTGGCACTTTGCCAAGTATAAACTAATAATGAAATTTCATCAGCATTATTAATTTCATATTTTTATTAAGTTTTTTTTAAATTCCCCAATGCTGAGCCTAGAACTTCATATGTTGAATGATGTTAAAAATAATACCCTCCCCTTCAGTAAGTAGAAACTGACCAGTCCCTTAAAGCGATACGGTTGTGGTACTGCGTTCTGTTCGTGTTGGTTTCATATGGTGTATACAATGTATGTAAAACCCATTGTTTACAGCAATTCGGACACAACAACTGTCGTGCAATTTAACCGCGATAATAACAGGTTATAAACTGTATCCAGACATATATGGATAATGTACTTATGACATAAATTGAGTCAAGTTTTTTTCAACATAATACTACGTGAGCAGGGAGGGAGACATTGCCAATGTACTTTAAACTAAATAGACCAGAACAAAAAAAGATTTTCTTTTACAGACTCCCACTGAAACTCCTGAAGAACTACAAAGAAGCAAATCAATGCAAGTTTTTCCACTTCAATACAGAAATGCTCCCTTCAAGCACTAGTAAAGTACAAACAGGATCTGTGGGGTTAACGTGTACCAAATTAATTCTGAATCTACTAAAAATATTTTGCAAATACACAATAAAATAGAAATACATTATATCAATCAATTGATTGCTGAGACCAGATCTGCAACAGCTGAATCTATGAAATTCTAACTACATGTATATTTGCCAACACAATGGTGTTTGCACGCAAAGCCAGGGTAATGTTGGACATGCGCCAAAGATCTCTCTCGAAGCTAAATTAAAACCCGACATAATAACATTATATGCAAATTGGCTGTCTCAAAATCAACATCACCATTCAATGAACTAGAATTATTGTTTTATAGCGTTTATATACGCTTTTCCTGCACAGAAACACTGGGCACAAGTTTATGTTATTTTCTTGACTGATTCATCATAGCACTCTCTGGCCACTGAAAACACAATTCTTATACCAAATGAGTGTCTCCTCAAACCACTTCATGGTATCCCAAACAACAATCGCAGATTTCAGTTGAATTTGTAATAATTTAGGATGAGTGTTAATTTGTGTGATAAAGTAGGTTATTTGTTTTATTTAACCATCTGTTGTAGTCATGTGACAGTGGACACACGCGGCAAATACGTGATATGAGTTCCTGTAGGAATATGCGGTACAGTGACGGTGATATCATGAACTGTACCGCACTGAATGTGACGATGACATCATGAACTGTACCGCACTAAATGCGACGATGACATCATGAACTGTACCGCACTGAATGTGGCGATGACATCATGAACTGTACCGCACTGAATGTGACGATGACATCATGAACTGTACCGCACTAAATGTGACGATGACATCATGAACTGTACCGCACTGAATGTGGCGATGACATCATGAACTGTACCGCACTGTCACGAACTAATCTTTGGATCTCATAAAATCACAACACAAAGAACTTAGCATGATGATGAGGTTATAAATTAAATGTGGTGCCTTTTTTAAACATTTTATGGAGAACAACTAACTCATTGACGGTTTGAGGCTAGGAGTAGGGAAAAACCCAATTTATTTATAAACCAGTGTAAAAACCCAAATTCTAACCAGCGATTTTGTATAGTCGTATAAATACTCCTGCTTAAAATACTTTCTAGCACATGGCTTGCTGGCACTGGTTTCTCTCATTGGCCATCTGTGGAAACTTAAAGTAGGTCATGCGTCAATGTCTATAATTCTGGGGAGAATTTTACATGTGCACAGTTAAGAAAAGAATTATTACCAAAAAACAACTGAAAAATTGAAAGAAGCAATATTTCTGTAAATTTATTTAATCACAATATTATTAAACAGAATACTGTTGCTTAATTGTTGATGAATTTTATCTGAAGTGTTTTGAACTATTTTGTGAAAGGTTACAAAAGTTTGACTGGTTGTGAAAGGGTTATTCTGAGGTTGAAATGTAATCAACTCTGGGGAATTCACTATTTATTTCATGACAAACAATAATGAAAAGTTATTTATGATCATCAGAGGCCTAACTTTTATTCCTAGTACGCAAACAAAGAGATCTTGTCTGTAAGACTGTTATTGTCCAAACATAACAAAAAAAGGGCAACACAATGAAACGATTGTTATTTGAAACTACCTTCACCTGATATATCTTAAGTTTTGAGGTTTCAAAGGAAGCTTTCAAAAGTTCATCTGCTGATGCCATTTTGTCCATTCATTTTGCGATCCGTGGATGCTTTCAACAGGTTATGTGTTAACAGATTTTCAACCATTCTTTTGAATTTACACAACAATTTTTTTTCGCATTTTTAATTTCAGTTTTCCCCCCAGATGGATGAATAAGCAGCTTAGTGTTTCTTTCTGATAATGCCAGTGTGATGGGAATACCAAGTACATAGTCATTGTCTATTGGAACAAGTCCTTTTCATTGTTGTTGTCTATGGGAACAAGTCCTTTTATCATCGTTGTCTATGAGAACAAGTCCCTTTTATAGTCGTTGTCTATGGGAACAAGTCCCTTTATCAACGTTGTCTATGGGAACAAGTCCCTTTTATAGTCGTTTCTATGAGAACAAGTCCCTTTATCATCGTCATCTATGGGTTCCTGTCATAATCATTGTTTATGGGAATCCATATTGACTGTCTATAGGAATGAATTCCCTTTGTGATCGTTGTTCACAGGAATAAATCCATTTCATGGCAAATTGTCATTTTTAGTTACTACACATTCTCTGATTCTATTAATTTACCTTTTTATTTTCATTAGCGAGTATTTCCACTCAAATACATTTTTTTGGAGAAAACCTGAAAACATTTGATCATTTCAAATAACAGAGCCAGCTGTGTTTTACTCCTATCATAGCCAGCAATTTGAAAACTCTACAGACAACCCTTACGGATAACCTACTTTACATAGTTTCAACTCGTCACCTTTCATTCACCCTCATTAACATATGACTCTCCAATACACCCTGAATAACATTACATCAACGTTTTTATCGCCATTTTTTAAGTATTCGGTCGTAAAAAACGATGTAGTTTAATAAAATTATTCTTGATTTGTAATTTTTATGTTTATTTATTATATAAGTATGTAATAATAACTGATTGTGTCTAATTCAGTTTAGATTTCATCTGTGTATTACATGTGTGGATGAAATTTCACTAACATGAAATATTCAGCCAGTTCAGTTTCTCTTCAAAGTATGTCAAGCTTTTTTGGGAACAAAGAAATGAATTAGCAAAACAAAAATCAACTAACACCAAATTAGTACAATACTTGAGAATTAGTTGAACACCATTAAATTGTTCACCTTTATTGTATTTTTCAATAATTTATTTGTTAATTTTGGTTTAGATGGATTTAATTCGACCTTGGCTACAGTCCAAAATTGTTGGAAAAGTAGGGGGTGTAAAATAAAATAAAAAATGCTGCATGTACAGGACACATAACAGTATTCATTAAATGAAAACTCAAAACCACTAACAGCATGTGTGGAGTGATTGTTATTGTATGTAACAAAACAACCGGTGCACAGTGCCTATAAAGAATTTCATTGTTTCATAGAACGAATACTATAAATAGTGTTTCTTAGTTGCAGATACATGGTAGTCCAACGTATCTGTCAATAAATCAAACAACAATACTAATTATGTGTTCTTGCCCATCTTAAATATAAAATATAAATATGAAATCACTATTATTTTTTTTT